TGCTGCCATCAGGGGTGATGGAAAAAGCAGGCTCCTCACAGAAAAGCCTCGGAGACCACCTGGAGCAGGAGGAGCAGAAGCCTGAGGTTAGAGCAGGCTGGGACCCCAGGCCAGAAGTAACAAGCCGTCAGGGGACCCCACATGGGCGTCCAGGGATGCCCTCCAGATCAGAAGTCCTGGAGAGGAGCCATAGAACAAGCACATCAAACTCAAAGGCTAACACGGGCCATATAAACAAGGTTTAAGTTTATGTGGGTTGTATTAGTGAAGAGAAATGGTGTGCCTGCATGTAAGGGAAATGAATGCAACACAATTATAGTAATCAGTCATTAGCGAACATTGTAGTTTGTTATTAATAACTAGAGGCCTGGTGCACAGATTCGTGCACTGGTGCGGTCCCTCGGCCTGGCCTGCAGGGATGGGGCCGAAACCAGCTCTCCGACATCCCCCAAGGGGTCCTGGGTTGCTGAGAGAGCGGTTCTCGGGTGACACACTCCAGAATCGGGCTCCCTCCTGTCTGGTTCCGGGTGCGTCACCGAGAACCGAAGCTGCCAAGTCACCGAAGCTCGGCAGCTTCTGCATTGAGCATCTGCCCCCTGGTGGTCAGTGCACGTCATAGCTACCGGTCGGATGTGCAATCAGTTAGCCAGTCGGCTGGTCTCTTAGGCTTTTATATACCAGTATATAAATTATGTATAGCAAGATATTGTAAAAATTGAGTTACAAAATTTTTATTAAAACATTTCTTACATACCATTATATTGGCTGGGCCACAAGTTTGACATGCTTGCAGTAAAAGATGAAATTGACCAGCCCATCCTTGAACTTTACTTTGTGAAACTGACCAGTTTCTGCAATTCCCCCAAACGGTTATTCCCCTTTGGGAAACACCTCCCCAAAAACTCAGCCATTGAAACTGCTCAGCCCTTCTCCATTTAACTGCAACCCACCCCCAACCCCCACCCAATCTTCTCCCTCAGGCCTTGACTGTTAGAAGAACCGGCTCACCCACTCAGCTGCTCCCACTCCTCAATAAAGTCCCTTCCTTCTGGGCAAAATAAACAACAGTGGTTGTTATATAAGGATGGTGACGTGGTGATGATTTTCCTCTCTACTTCCTAAAATTTCTAAAATGCTATGTTGCTTTTATAACAACATACAAAAGAGAGAAAAGATTTTCTAAAAGAGTGAAGGTTTTATTCTAATGAACAGAGAAATAGGCTTTTGTTGATAGGTGCTATTTGCATGCACACTCGTGACAGTTAAGGTAAGCAAGTCCTTCTAGTTGTTACAATTCAATTCAACAAACATTTCCTGACTGTCTTTCAGATCCTGTGACAGCTCAGGAAAATTCAGTTTATTTATTTGTTCAATAGAGAAAATAATCTTTTCCCCGAATTTCACTTCTTTACTATTAACTTTATGGTATCTATTAAACATTTGAACTGTGCAGAGCCTATCTTACTTGTATACGAACATCCAGTTCCTAGCCTCCCGCACAAATTTAGTTCTCAATGAAACATTTTTAAAGGAAAAAATGAAAGAAGGTCTTCTATAGTGACTTAAGCATTATATAGAACTGTGGTTCTCAAATCGTGTGCTAAGGTACCCCGAGGCACAGCAGCAAACTCCAGGGGCACCATGGGATATTTAAAATTCGTCAGGGAATCACATGTTGGACACCATGCAAATGACTACCGTTAAGTTGTTGGGAATTTCTTTTGGCCTAAAGGGCTCCATGAAAGATAACTAAGACACAATGTTCCATGAACCAAGTAAGTTTGGAAGCTTGGGTTGGAAACCTCAGGTATAGGGCAGAAACAATGGGATAGAGACCCTGATCTCTTAGAATTTTTATTTAAAATTTACAAAAGACTCATGTAGTTATTGCCTAAAAGGTTTGGTCCTTGCCCTCAGCTCCTAGGAGGTAGCCCCTAGGCAGGCCCTGACTGAAGGAATAGCCTAACC